TTTTTTTTTTTTTGTACATTCAATGAAAAGAAATAAGTGAACGCCAAAACATGCTAAGATTTGATTTCTTTTTATAGCAATCTTCGTCTTCTATCAAGAAGCCTACAATACTAAATTGAAAAAACTAAAATGTGGGATACAGTCGGAGATCAATTTAACTAAAATATACACTGAATAGGACCAAATTAAAGAAGATACATACGATAAAATTTCATTTTTTTCAAATGCAGTGATCCAATAAAATTAAAGTAGAAACTATGTATGTTGATGGGAGGGCCAATAAACAGCTCCTTCTCTTGGACAAGGCAGAGGAGCAGGTTGTGCAATGAAGGTAGGATACTGCTGTCCCGGCATTACTACTGAGAAATCTGATGCATATGATGCTTGTACCTGCTACAAATTTTTGCCTATTAGAAATTTTCTATACCAATTCTTTGTTCAATGGATTTTCTCATGCATTTTCTGTTTCAATCTTTTCACTTATAATTACTATGACTGTATTTGCTTTATTCTTTTATATAGGCACAGAAACTCGCAAATCAGATTCTAAAAATCTATTTCTTAAACTGGGAAGTGTAAGATGGAAAAACAGAGACTTACTGAGTGTGAATCTCCAAGTTTCTGCACTTGTGGTGATTCCAAGTGGGCGGTAGAGTTGTCTTGAGATGACAAAAAAGATGCATTTGGCCTGAACAGATGCTCAAATATAGCCATTATAAGAAACATTGATATCAATATTGCTGTAGCCACAAAGCCAAAAGAAATTGCATTCATGGATGTGCCAAAGCTATTCCATGGACCTTCTCTGTCAACTTCTGTTTGAGATGGACTAGGATATGAACTACCGTAGATGTTCCATGGCTTCGGCCGTCCAGAATTAAGCTCACTCATAACTACTTTTCTGCTTAAATCTCTCGAAAGAAAATTCTTTTGATTTTGACACCGTCCCAACAACGAACACTCTATTGCAAGCTGAGGCTCTGCCTTTCCCCGAGGCGAATCAACCAATTTCGGGTTTTAAGAAAAAATCTTTACTCTTTCAATTCTGCTCCAGAACTTAATGATCTTGATCTACGAGACGAGATATCAAAAGCTATTTTCAGCATTTTCATACAATGCCCTGAAAAGTGATCAAGATCTCTCAGATGGTCAAGATTCAGGAATTAGTACAATTAATGCAAGTAGAGAATCTATTTCAGTTTCAAAAAGAAAACAGATAATTAAGAGGAAATGATCCTTGATAGTTCTAATATATAATTTTTACTCGAAACAGATATAATCAGCAAAAAGAGACTTTGGATGGCCATTACAAATGAGAAATGACCAATGGCTCACGCTGTAAGATCATCCATAGGACAATATTACTGTCCAAACATTCCCTATATGATGCTTCTGATGATAAAATATTCTGAATTGATGCTAAACATAGATACCAAATGATGCAAAATGGAAAAAACCAAGAAAATAACAGATGATTACCAGAAATAGAATTAGTACAGGACAATCTTGCAGAGGTTCTTAGAAAACCTTCATTTATATGTCGATATTGAACCAAGAAAATGATATACAATATAAAAGCATAAACCTAGGTTTTCTTACAACAAATTGCAAGACAGTTTCCTTTTATATTTAGAAACAGGAGAAACCATTATCCCAAATATTGTTTAAGGTTTCTATCATATAAGAACAAGACACAGCCCTAGTCCTCCAAGGCTTACCTAAGATGCAGCTCAATTCTAGCTATATAACAGCTTTATAGAGAATAGAAAATGTAAAGAGAAAGATGGAGAGTATATATGATAATCTCAGTTGAAAAACCTTTTTATGGGTGGTACTAATCCTGATGCCTAACTTAATGAGTACTGTACCTTGCCTGGAGAAGCAAACTTAAAAAGAAATTGTAAACATGGGCCATCATGTCGGGTGAAGCGAAAGAGGGTTCTTTGAGGCTTGTTAGAAGCTTTCGATTTTGAAACACTGTAGCCTCGGTTTGGCCCCCTTTCTTTCAAATTTTAATGTTTTGAATAGCATTTTGTTGGAGAATCTGTGATTGAAAAAAAAGGAAAAGTATTCGGTTTACACGTAACATTATTTTATGAAAAATTATGTGGTTGAAAGCAAGAGTGAAAAGAAAAAATTGAAAGAGAAAGGGGGCCAAATGGGGGCGTAGTCTGTAGGCCTAGACGTGTAAATCAGACCGTGGCTCTACGATTTTGAGGCTGCTTGGCAAAATCAATATTGAAAATACCATTTGTACAGAATTTTTTTTGTACCTACTTGACGGATGCATTGTTTGTAGCAAATGATTGGGTGTAAAAATTAACCATTCTTTACACAATTCAATGATAGTCAAGGAAGTGGGCAAATAATTTTGTACACCGAGCATGATTGAATACAATTAGTCTAGAAGTGTAAACTAAGTTGTGTCAGAAGATTTTGAGGTGGCATGGCTCAGTATCCGGCATGCCTAAAATTATATGGGTCGACACCTCCCATTAGCGTGACCTGTTGGCTCTTTCCAGGCAAGGCATACGAACTTAGCAATTTAATATTTTTGCCTACATTTTATTCTTAATTTTTGTTTAAGTACATATCTGAGTGATCCATGAGGATCATGGACCTCTACGGTCGACTGTGGCATGATTTGACTGTAGAGTTAGGCCGTCACACGACACAACACAACACAACCCATCACGAGTCGAGGCGACAGTGCATATTTTTACACCCCAAAGTTAGCCATAAGAATGCATCTTTGCTAAACCTAATCAGGCCAGCCTAGTTGCATTACTGAATAGATAGAATTGACAGATGTTTGCGGTTAGAAACTTTTGAAATTAAACACAGCCAAACAAATTTGATGGGATTTCAATTATTTCATTCCTTCCTTTCTTTTCTTGTATCTTTAATTCTCGCAGTTCCAAAAAAATCCTTTAATTCTCTCGTCATTGACATAAAAGTGCACGTCGTTCCCTTTATGAGAGTCTGTAGCATTAAATTTGTTCCATTTCTTAACCAAAAATGTAAAAATTTGGAAACGTTGTTGAGAATTCCTAAAGCAATATAATGACAGATGAAATTCTCAAGAAACTTTCATTACAAATGGATTCATCATTCAAGAGTTGGTAACATATCACATAATAACCAATAAGATAAAGATAGCTGTCAATAAATTGTTAAAGAATAAAGAATAAAGGCTGCAGCAAGTAACATTTAAGTTTATAATGGTGCACTATGATTGAGCAGGTGTGGAATCAAATCACATTATGCAGTACAAGTGTAGAGGATTTCAAAAAGAGAGAATAAATGTTGGATGTGTTACAGATTTGCACTATCTCAACACCCCATTATTCAAGTAAAAGAAAAAAGTAGTGTGTAGAGCTAAGAAAAGGAGGCGATGTAGATCACTGCAACACAGACGTGACTCGTCATGATAATAGATAACAAATAAAAACAAGATAATTGTCGTGTCACATGTTGTTCTACTAGCAGACTTAAAGAAATCGAGCTAGGCCAGCCTCAACACAAGACAATTAAGGGGTAGGTGCCTGTCCCACAGCCCTAGAGCTAGGCCTTATGAAAGGGCCCTTATGAACTTGGTGAATAATACAAACAAACATGAGACAGCTAATTTGAAAAGCTACGATACCACTTGAAGGTTCTATATAGCCAATTTATTTTGACCCAACGTGCGGAATTATACAATTAAAAGCAATAAGTTACTTTTTAATTGTTTCTAGATAGTTAATCACACAGTAAAATTATCCTACGTTGAATTGTCACAATATCAATAAAGTAGTAAATAACACAAGAATTGTTGACGAAGAAAATCCAAGTGAGTAAAAACTTTGGGACCAAGCCGGTAACTTTCACTATAGACAATAATGAATTTACATTACAATCCGGCCTAGAAACTCCACTAGACTTGCTGATTTGATTTCTGCAATTTTCAAAACTCACTAGAACATGCTTCACCCATGCATGTTCTCGATCTTTTGGAATTGTCCATCTCCTGTGGATCACCAAGAACGCCTCGTTTTTGTATTCTTCCAGTGCTTCTGGTCCAATTTCCCTCAATTCTTCAACAACTTCTGAAAGTTATTGAGAAAGTATCTTCCTGTATTTATGTAGGAAGTGAGTGTTTTGGATTCTAGGAATTTAATGTTTTTCCAAAAGTTGTGATTGTACGAATTCAAGAATAAAATGATAAATTTAAAGGCTAGAGTAGGTTTTTGAATATTTGAATGATATTATGGAGAAAGCATACAAGAAACAACCACAACTTTGGGAAAAACATCAAATTCATAGAATTCAAAACATCTACTTTCTACATACATATAGGAAGGTACTTTCTCAATAATTTTCAAAGATTGTTGAAGAATTGAGAGAGGTTGGACCAGAAGCACATGAAGAATAAAGAACGAGGTGTTAGTGGTGATTTACATGAGATAGACAATTCTAGAAGATCAGGAATGAGTGTGAGTGAAACACGTTCCAACGGGTCTTGGAGATTGCAGGAATTAGATCAACGAGTCTAGTGGAGTTTCTAGGCATGATCGTATTGTGAGTTCATTATTGTCTATAGTGGAGGTTATTGGCTTGGTCCCGGAGTTTTTACCCAATTGGGTTTTCTCTATCAACAATTCTTTTGTTATTTATTGCTTTATTGATATTTGTGGTAATTCAATGTAGGATAATTAGACTTATGTGATTAACCATCTAAAATCAATTAAAAGTGACTTGCTACTTTTAATTGTATAATTCCTCACATTGGATCAAAATAAATTGTCTATATAGAACCTTCAAGTGGTATCCAAGCTTTTCACAATGAACCTAGGAACCTTCAAAAAAATGCAACTATAATTTTTAAACTATGAAAGGTAAGAAAAGATAGCATCAAGAGAGGAAGGAAGGGAACTTTTTCCCTTTATCTTCAATGAGATGGGGATCTTTTTCAATGAGACAATCACCATGTCTTTGAAAGATTTGAATGCTTTTCAAAACCTATACCTCATATATCATTTTAATCATTTACACCCCATGTGCACCACATGCATGTTTTGCTTTGTGATTATGAGAACACAAAAGAGGGGAAAAAATGTAGAAATTCAAGAAAATGGTACATTTTTATTGGTTTGTTGGGTAATGTGAACTTAATAATACTAGACAAACTACCCTATCGTGTTCACATATTACGTACCAAGGTGATTCCTGATGGTATTCTAATGAAATTTTCATTAGGTAAATTTGAACAACAAAACTTTTATGTACATTGATTACTTCCATTGAAAGCTATAGAAATAGGATAAAGAAATCAATGCCCCTTTTTCATGGTGACATGATTATGGTAAATTGAAACATACAGAGCCCACAAAATTTCATTCTTGATATCTTGATTCTTGAATAAACATAACTATGTATGTCTTTTAATTTATATTGAAGTCACCTCAAGAAAAGAAATTGTTTTTTCATATGAGACAATTTTTAAAGGAGAAGGGTCCCATGATAAGATGACTGTATTGAGCAAAATGTTGAAAAAGATGTTTGCTTTTCTTTTTCTTTCTTTTTTCCAAATGAAAGCAATTTCATCTCCAGTAAACTTACTTTTCTAGCATGTTCATTGTTCACAGAGTTCTAAACAAACTCTTCCAGATTTAGCTTTATGCCATACTAAATTCCTCAGCAAGAGCTAGCTTTCCATGCTACATGTTCATAACATTAAAAAGACAGCTTTTACTGAAACTTATGAATTGCACCATTTTTATTAGTCATGGAAGTACTTTATTATTGTTAAATCATCTAGTTTAAGAGTATAAGAATATTTACTTAAATTTTCCTATCGATACGTTTCATCACAAGCATGGATGCCCAATTTATTTGTTCTCATGCACAATTTTTATAAGTGAGTGGCGATTAATACCTTTACTTGTTCTAATACCATTAGATACTTTTTTCCCCATATTTTCTTCCCTCGATTGAAGCGATTAAGTTTTTGAGTTTTAGTTACTTGCTACTGACGATAATTAACATGTTTTTCAGGAATTAATAGTTGAAAAAAGAGGATTACTGGTCCTTTTGAAAACCCTATAATTTGCTTTTTATTATCAAGTTGGAAGCTTTCCCTTTTTCTACTTTATACACACTCAGTCCAAGTCTTCTCATGCCTAGAATCTCTCCCCATGTGGGTTCCATTTATTGAATATACTCTTCTACATTCCGTAGATTATATATTGTTTCAAAACATAATTTAAATAAATAAATTTAATTATTTATATGATATTTAAATTTTGTTTTTGAAACAATATAAACATTTATATGATATGGCTCAATGTTTATCAACCCATTCTTGAGGTAAAGCTTTGTGTCTCTCTTACTTATCCTACATTTCATATTAATACGTCAATACAAGTCCATGCCAAACATAATTTTCTGTATGAAATGGAACAGATAAGATCAAAACAAACTTGACACTCGATCTATGAAATCGTACTACGAATTTATGTTGCAGCTTTCGGCGTCCGCCTGAGTTACAGTTAGTAAGCAAGGTTAAATCATTATTTATCATACAGTTGAGGTAACGTTGGCAGCATAAAAAACTTGCCAAAGACTTTAACATGAATTTTTCAGCAGTAAAAATAGTAATTAATTGCAGGCCAGCCGGTTTTTATGGCTTAAGTGCTTTTGTGGTCCTCACAGTCACGTGGACCTATATGTGCCCATTGACATTCAAGCATGCTACAAAAATTTGCATTATCTTTTTGCTGACAGTAAGTAATGGTTACTGCATTATTTTTAAGCTTTGATCTGAGACTAATGCCTAAAGTAAGGCATGTGGTCACACTACCTACCATATATGACTCGATTTACGAGGTAGACTCGACTATTAGTTACATACTGTTTCAATATTCTCTTTCTTTCTTTCTTAATGTTGTGAAATGTTATTCGCAGTCTAGTATGTCTAGAGAGGCGGGCCAACCCACACAGGTCTTCTAAGCAACTTTTTTTCTTCGAAGAGATTCGAAAACCCACCAAGAATTGCAGGTCATGCAGAGCCTCTCAACAAAAGTTTTAGAACCACCAACCCTTTTACTCCTTTAGTCTAACTTGCAATTTCATGATATTTTTGGGAAAATTAAGGATACAATGGATGGTAATCAAATAGTTATTCGCAGTCTAGTATGTCTAGAGAGGCGGGCCAACCCACACAGGTCTTCTAAGCAACTTTTTTTCTTCGAAGAGATTCGAAAACCCACCAAGAATTGCAGGTCATGCAGAGCCTCTCAACAAAAGTTTTAGAACCACCAACCCTTTTACTCCTTTAGTCTAACTTGCAATTTCATGATATTTTTGGGAAAATTAAGGATACAATGGATGGTAATCAAATACAGTCACTAAAATTCAAATCTTCACTATGAAAAGGATCAGCTCTGTATGAAAGAAAGCAAGACTTACATATACTAACTAATATATTTTATAAGAGAAATAATCTATCAAGCATAAGCATTGCTTAACTTATACCAAACACTAAGTTTATAACGCATCAATTAATTTGTGAATAAGTTATCATTGATCTTAAAAGTTAAATAATTAAAACCCTGGATGGAATCAACATATACACCCACCATTAAACAAAAACCAAATACTAAGCTTATTTTCTAATAATAGTTGTCAGAAGCTATTTTCCAACTGACGGCAATCTTGACAGTACAAAAACAAGATTGTCAATAATCCATTCAAATCATCCACGTTGTTTATGACACTAATCGGTAAATCAGCAACAAAAACGAAAGACACGAGCATGCTTTGTCAAAATCGAAAATGTTCATAATACATTCGGCATAAAGGTCAAAAACATTGAAAATAGAAAATGAATAATAGAATCCATTGCCATAATCAAAATTAGACTTCCAACAACAAAGCATGCCGCAATTAGATACTATTCAGCAAAGATAAACTTGAAAAGGGGAAATAGGAGGGGAACAAATCCTCTCAAATCTTGAAAGCTTGAAGTTCTCCTCAATATGCTTATTTTCTTAAGCTTTAAGTCGACCATAGAATTTGGCCTTTTCTTCTGTTGTCTGGAATCGTCCATGGCCAAATTTGGAGGATGTATCGATGAATTTGAGTTTGATATCCTCCAATGCCAACCTCGATGTTTGGTTCAGCAACGACTGCCTCAAAGTTACAACCCGCTTCTTCGGTCCCACACAGCAGCCTTTTATCATCAGATAATCATCTTTCACAATACCATAATGCGGAAATCCCCCCATCGGATTAATGTCTTTCTCAGTCCTGGTCAACAAAAAGGATTTTTAGAAATGACGATATAGAAAATTAATAAATATAATATGACAAAAAAGGATAATACTGAGATCCCACTGAGACCAGGCCTGCCTTTAAGGAAATAAAACTATAATAAGCGAGTATGCACAACTGCATGGATGAATAAAAAATTCAAAGCGAGAGAAAAATCTGAAGGAATTCTTGTAAACAAAACTACGATGCAACAGGCTTGATGCACAGTTTTTAGTGAATGATTTATCCAGTTTCAACAATTCTAGTATTTAGCGGAACGAAGAATGTGATTGATGAGAAATGTCAAAAGTAAAAGATATTTAATGACCTGTCAAACTCCGTCATGGCAGAATGAGACTCCTGAGCAGTCTTCCCCAGCTTGTAAATCTTCTTGTTCATTTCTGTCCTATGATGGTAACCATTTTGCCCAGCCCTGGCAACAGTGAATGAAACCCTAGCTGGATGCCAGGCACCAATACATGCAACCTTACGAAGACCACGGTGAGTTTTGCGAGGCAGGCGGGTAACACCCCATCGGGTCACCACACCTTCATATCCCTTACCCTTGGTCACCCCAATAATGTCAATCATCTCGTCTTTCTGGAAAACAGCATCAACAGGTATCTGTTTTTCGAAAAGGCTATAAGCATAATCAACCTTCTTTGCAACATCTCCTCCATTCACCTGAATCTCCATGAGGTGGGCTTTCTTTTGCTTAAGTCCTTTCATCTTACGAATCTGTAAACCCACAAAACATCAACAAATAAATATAGAGATGAAGGTCAGTAAAAGTTATATTAGTTAGATTGTGCCAGACAAGACACCCCCAAAGTATAAGACTAAATCTAAATGACACAAAATAACACAGTCCTATTAGCAGGATTTCATGACAGCACAACCACTGATTGCTGAAGGGAATATGCTTCAAATAAGTGCTAAGCGGGTACCTGTGTATGAGCCAAAACCCTAATGACAGAGCAGTACTTCTTCAGTTTCTCCAACTGAGCAGTAATATCCTTCTTCCCTTCTTCGGTTTCAAACTTCTTAGAGTACTTGGTAAAAGCCTTCTTTTTAGACTTGCACCAGTTTTTGTAGAATCTCCTCTTGAGCTCCTCACTCAGATGTTGAGCCCAAACAGTATTCAGACAACGGAGGCCGCGTGGTGTTTTGACATACCCAACAACTCCAACAACAACCATAGGTGGTGTTTCTATAACAGTTACAGCCTCACATGTTTCCTTCTTGTGGAGCTCTGGACAAATAACAGTCATGATTACAAAATGACTCGCATGAGAACAAAATGCAAAAAAACAAATGAATTACTAATATGGAAAAGAGTTGAGTAACATATGCAATAATAATAGGGAAAGAGCAGTCAAGTGGCAGACGCAAAAAAATAAAACAATTATATTGCATGTATACAAACTCACAAAAGAACTTAATTTTGTACCCAACTTTAATCAAGGTCCCGTTCATAAATGTTAACTATCCAAACAATTACAATCATCATCTACTCCTACATTAAGCAGAGTGCAATTAGAATATTAATGCCCTAATTGAGCCCCATTAATTTCTTATAATGTATTATGGAATAGTAAATTGATGGGAAATATATGGTTAAAAAAGAAGGAAATTTTTTGACTTGTGTATAATATTATTTTAATGAAAAATGTGTGGTTGAAAATAAGTACTGTAGAAAAAATAATGGAAAAGAATGAGAAAAATGGGGCTTAAACATGGTCTAAATTTAACTTCTACTGCAATCTTACAGGCAAAGTAAGAAAGAGAACTCACTTGACCCAGGTTTTTCAACTTCTCGCACAATATGAGTCATCCCAGCTTTGTATCCAAGGAAAGCTGTCAACGTGCATTGCTTTGTTGGATCATCTTTGGGAAAGGCCTTCACTGCAGATATACAAATGCAGATATAAATCAATAACAGTATGCTAACATGCTAACATACCGTTGGATCATCTTTGGGAAAGGCCAAGAGATTGTACTATAAGCAAGTTGACAATGTTATCAACAACTCAAGAATGAATAAAGTCAAACCATCGCACTACCACATAATTAATCAACTATATCACAGACAAGGCAACAAAATAAAAGCGTCCATTTGATTCAGGCCTTTCCCACTAGCTCAAATCTTTTGAGCATCTAAATAAATAATCCATAGGTGTAAGAGTTCCTTGAATAAAGTGCCTTTAAGAAGATAACTCTAAATATTGCGAAAATCTAGTAATGCATTATACCAGCAGAAACACAAAGAAACCCAACACAAAATTAACCACTAAAGTAATAAACCTATGATAGGCTTTACAAGAAAACAGTACACGCTTAAACCAAAAGCTCACAAAGTAATTCATCATCAAATGGAAACTTTTTCACACAATGTCTTATTGACTTTTACAAAGTTTATTGAGTTCTATAACTCAGTCAACACATGAACTTTTGAACATTTACAACATCTATAAACAAATTTCAGTAAAAGACAACAATATTTGTAACCACCAGAGAAGGGTAATGAAAATTGCTTTTAAATCATGTGCAAAGAAAAAATAAACAAATGCATTGAAGATATGAAAGAAGACAAGCAAAATAAGATATTAAAAGATGGGAATATAGCACAAGACCTTTTCCTCTTTGACGAGATGCTCTTTTTCTTGGGAGAAATCCCAAAGAGCCATGTCTTGGGTGCTCAAACTTGCGGTGCGACATTGTTCCCTGCTTCTAATAATACAGTAAAACTCGTGGACTAATTTAACTCTACAATAATATGACATGCCATAGAGTAAGTACAGGTCAAAACAAGAAATAGCATGCTTCTAGAAAAAACAAAGAAGCAAAGTTTTCCACAATAGTTTGCCATGTGAGTTTTCAATGATAAGTCAATTACATATGAATCTAGAGATCAGAAACCTTACAAAAAAGTTGCTTTAATACCTCCATGAAAATAACAACGGTACCTAATAGTGACTAATATAAATGAAAAAGTGATTAAAAATTGTATGTTCAAGAAAACAAAATCACCATATTTCAGATCCGATTTTCTGAAACAGCCAATGGTCATGTTAAAAAGATTTTACATTGTTTAAGACTCAAAAGCAGGTACAGCTAAGGAAAACATTAAAGAAACCGAAACAGCAAATCGAGCTATCGCCATGACTAGAAGAACATGTTAGATTACATCCAGATCCTACTAGACGAATAGAAATGCTGCTCCCAAACCAAAGGCCTATGACATTGATTTACTATGCCAATTCTCGGGCTCAATGGTATTTCTTCCCAAACACAAATATGGTGTTGGCAAAGAGAGCCTTTCCGAGACTCCAGCCTTGATTTCTCAGTCCTTTTACTTTAGGGAGCGCGTTTCAATCATCAAAAGGAAATGGAACCATCCAAACATGTCCAACAGAGCCATAACATAATCATTCAAAACTACATATACATCCAAAAATACCTCATAATGCAATAGAAAATTACCCAAAATCAAATTTAACTACGAAAAGGATTTGAGAAAACTCTCACATCTGAAGTGTCACTTAAACATGCAATAATCAGAATCCAGATACAGATTATCACTGAACCACATTAAAATCAAAGTATAAATTACAATGTTTAATTTTCTAATTAAACAGAATTCGAGAGAAAATTGAATTACCTCAGAGCCGCACAGCAATAAGCCTGATTGAGAAACCTAGAAATTTGAGGAATTTATATAAATGAGCACAGTGATAAATGGACGGCTAGGGTTTTGGTGGTGTGGTTTTCGCGGCCGTAATTGGGCCTCTAATTGTTGGGCTTCTACGTCCAAGTGTTTATATATGGGCATTTTCAAAACTTGGATACGAAAAGTGATTTGGGCCGAATTTCACTTTCAGGCCAGATCAAAACAGGGATGCAGCCCAATATGCCGTGCATTGTTAACTCGGATGGCTAAGGATGGGGCCTTTGAAGATTTTCAGGAGATAGCAAGTTCGGAATCAAAATATCTTCATTTTACCTATTTTTTTCATTTAATTTTTATTTTTAAATATGTTCAATAAAAATTAAAAGTTTAGCCCTTGTCTGGGAGAGATTTTTCTCTCATTTTCAGCAATTTTTCTCCCATTACTAAGTCCCATTTTGGTCGCAATTTTTTACTGTATCAAAATTAAATACCAAAAATGTCCAACATTCATGAAGAACGAATTAAATGTTAAGGTGCAAAAAGGTCTTTCTGCCTTAAAAAGTGGTCCACAATTATGTCCAAAGTTGATTGGACCTAGGGCATAATACTTACAAACTCCCACTTGCACTAGATCCAATCACTTATGTATCAAATATCATAAGTCTACATGACGATCATGTTTATACTACGACAACTCTTTGTCAGTGGATCTGCAATATTATTAAATGTGGAAATTTGCTCTTCTCTTTACGTCATTTCTATGTATTATCTCTCTGATGAGATTATACCGTTTTAATACATGTTTGGATCATTGATGAGACCTTAGTTCCTTTGCTTTCGCAATGGCTCTATTGTTATCACAATACTATTGTATGTAATCAACAATATCAGGAACTACTCCAAGTTCATTTATGAATATCATGATCCATATTGCAACTCTTTGCTACTTCTGAAGTATCCATATATTAGGTTTCTACTATTGAATCAATGTTTGCTTCACGTTTGGAACTTTTCCAACATGCCGCTTAAGAGTAAACCAGTTTCTCCATATGAAATCTTCTCAAGATTTCATCTATGTAAATTGGGATGAGTTAAGCAATCTTCTAGATCTACCTCTATAGATCAAGTTGCTTATCCCATATCGTTTATGAATAAATCCTTTAACAACCATTATTTCAACGATTGAAACATAGGGATGTCGTTTTGGGAAAAAAATGCTCCCACTATCTTCTTGTAAACACACAATTCATTTTCAAATTTGATAAAATCAAACACTTTGACTTTTCATCAAATCTAAGATTTCAGCTCCAAGTGACTTCTCTTAACCTATAGTCATGATATGCAACTGTTGCAAACAAAACCCGAATAGACTTAAGCAAGGCTATAGGAGAAATATTTCACCAAGGTCAACATTTAACTTTTGCTTCTAGCATTGCTTTGTATATATGGATATTCATATCCATATCGACCTTTTCTTTTGTAAACTATTTACAAAAACTTATGGGCTTTATTCCATTAGGAGGCTTGACCAAGGTCCAAACCTTGTTCACTTACGTTGAGTTTCATCTCGAGTTTCATAGCCTCTTGCTGTCTCTTTTAAGTCAACACTTGACTTTATTTTGTTGCAACTAGCAGGTTCATTATCCTGGATTACTGATTAATGATTCGCACCTTCTTGAAGGTCGAATGAGCCTACTAGATTCACATAGAGCTGTCATGTCCTCAGGAGTCTTTACTTCCTGATCCAAAGTATGTCCCATATCAGATATGGGACCAAACTCAGATTTATCTACTTGGTTAACTATATCTGTGGATTTTTGAACTCTTTCAAAATTCAATTTTACTCCCACTGTCATCTCCTAGAGTAAACATTTTCTCTAAGAAGACGACATGTCGTGAGACGAAGACTTTCTTCATGATGATAGAATTTATATTCAATTGTCTCCTTTGAATATCTCACAAATATGTATTTATCAGATTTAATTTCAAACTTATCCGATTTAAGGCGCTTCAAATAAGCGTCATGGCCCCAATCTTTCATATAAGATAAATTGGGACTATTGTCTTTCCATAACTCGTATGGAATTTTGTTAACCAATTTAGATGGGACATGGTTTAGTGTGTTGCACACTGCAATCAATGCGTGACCTCAAAACAATTTTGAGAAATTTGCATGGCTTGTTATTAATCGCATTATATGTAATAATTAACGATTCCTCCTTTTAGATACACCACCTTGCTGCAGTGTATATGAAGGAGTCCACTGCACGAGAATCTCATTCTCTCTTAGATAATCTAAATTTTATTTTTATGATACTCTCACTTGATCGAATCTTAATGTGAAGGTATCTTTATCTCTTTGTTTCTCTAATTCTAGTGTGAATCCCTTGATCTTTTCAAGAGTTTCATGTTTGAGTTTTCATCAAGTGTACTTGATTAATGATGAAATAAGAGAAACATTACCTGACATTGATTGACATGAATCCATATGCATCACTATGCATTAGACCAGTAATTATGCTGACCTTTTCTTCTTTTCAAGCAAAAGAAGATTTGGTTATTGTGCCAGACATGCATAATTTGTACTTGTCAAAATGAATTAATCCCAAGTATACATCTTTATGTAACTTTGGAATTATATTTCATCTAAATGACAAAGTCTGTCATGCCAGATTTTTTGGTAATAATTAGATTATAGTATTTATGCCTTATAATTTCTATACTTATTATAGAATCTTTAGTATTAATGAATATAAATGTCCTTTTATAATTTACCATAGCCATTAGGATCTTTAACAAGATAAATAAGAACAACAATTGTCCTTAACATTAAAATAGTTCATGTCTGAACATGAAATTCATTTTAATGTTCCAGCTATAGTTGGCATAAAACGACATTTCAATATTAAACCAAAAGGCAATGGCAAAAAGTATATTCATACAGGTAATGTAGCAACTTTTGCTCATCTCCAACATGTATGTCAACTTCTCCCTCTCGCAGTGGTCTACTTCTTTTAGTTTCTCCATATTTGTATAAATACGATATTTACACCTGGTATCATATACCTAAGAAACTCATGAAGTAGACGTAAGTCATACAATATTCCTTCCAACGACCTTTCATTCTATAATGAAACCAAGGGTCATTAGATTTGGTATTTGTCCTTTCACTTATACTGTCTTAACCATATTGGGTGCTTTCACAAAGCCCCTTTAAACTTCCTCTTAATATATTTAAAGGGATCAATGGTTTGCCCACTACTAACTTTGATGTTGGGCTTAATAATCTTAAACATATTAAGCAACTCAATATTTTGTGCATTCAAGCTTATTCACGTTAAATTCATAATTAGTTATGAATAGCTCTCTGACAGAGATTGCAGAACCAAGTCACTACTTAGTTCATTATTTATGATTGAACACAGTTGAGACATTTCTCAACGTCAATCATCTTCAGTGTCCAAGCATCGATTGAAGATTACTCTGTCATTTTGCACCAGTATAGTTGTTTGGAAGTCTCATATCCTTCCACACATAATTATTATCATACAACTCTTTGTAATGAAGAATTATGTGTTAACATCTATACTCACAAGTTGCTTTTGTAACTCAGTGACATAGTTGCAAATATCACATACGTTGCAGTACTATTATCATCATTGCGTTTACTATAGTAGCCACCTCTTCCTTAATCGAGTCATCACCAGGTATCTCTAGAAGGGGCTACTCAAGGACGTGACCAACTTTCTCATGCATAAGAACAATTTTCAAATTGCAGTGTCAATTAAGAAAATATAGTTTGGTTGTTGGCATCCAGTATGCCATTCAAAACATATGGTTACTCAGATTCAATAAATATAAATGACGAAAAAGGAAAGAATAATATATAAAATGCATCAATTAATTTAATATGGTCTTTTATTAAATTAATTATGCTCCCACTGTTTAAATAAAATTTATGACCCTCTCACATAAATTTATGGAGTCCATGCTTGACTCCCAGTGGGCTGGGATCCCATCTATTATATTAAGACCTTGAGTGTACTCAACAAGCCCTAATATAATATTTGGGTAGATACTATTATCAATTGTATCTCCATACAACTCCCAGAT